ATTGCAGAATTCAGAAATAGACCCACACATGTATGGTCAGTTGAGTACCAGTAAAATCAAATTTCCAATTTAGTTCGATGTGGGAAAGGAAGGGTTTTTTTTCCAACAAATATTGAATACTGGAGAAGAAAAGAATATTAACTATTACTTTAGGCTATCCAAATGTTTAATTCAAAATGGGCTAAATGCAATAATTAAAACTATCAAACTTCCTAAAAGAAATAGGAAAAAAATCTTTGGTAAGCAGAGATGTCTTAGTGAAAACACAAAAAGAATGAACCATAAAACAAAAAATGGATAAATGAGATTTCATCAAAATTTAAAGCAATTTGTTTGAAGCACATTATTAGAAAAATGAAAGGCACACCACAGAATGGAAGGAGTTAAACACCTGAAAAATGACTTGTATCCAAAGTACACAACTTAATTAGTTAAAAAAATGAAAGCAACATTGTTTTTAAAACCTAAAGACTTGAACATTTTAGAAAAGAAGTTCTATGAGTGTCCTGCAAGTATACTGTGAAAGGATTTTGTGCCCTTGGATGGGAAGCTGCAGTGCTGGGAGGCGGAACCAAGAGGCTCTATCTTGAGGTCAAGTTCCCCGCCCCTAAGCAATTTACCTGTGGCGAGAAATGAATTCCAGTGGGCTACCTGTGCATCAGTAATTCCCTTTAGGCTCCAACCCAAACCTAAGCTACATGTACGCCCCCACACCATGTGTCGGGCGGAGAGAATGCCAGACCCCGGAGGTCATGGAGTCTGTCCCCACATTCTTAAAACAAAGGCCACTTTTATTTCATACTTCTTATCCTTTTAGCAGCGCCGAAAATTCTATCACACTGAAAGAAGTTTGACATCATTATTCATCAGAGGGATCAGTCAGGTCCTTTTACTCCATATTTGTAAGCCGTTGGCATTTGGGGATTTTGCTGACCCCAGAAGGACTGCTCCCCCAGAGCTAGTGAATCTCCAAACATAGCAGCAAAGTGATCCAGAGCCAGACACAGTAGGGAACCGGAAGTCAAGTCTCTGATTTGGTTGGTTTGCACAGCGTATTCACAGCTGAGTGCAGAGTATAGCAAGCTATTTAATAGCAGCCATTCCCTGGTGTGTTAACCTGGCATTACTATACCAAGCAGCATCCAAAGAGGCCCCCAAAGCAGGGAGAGGAACTCTGACTTATGCTCCCCATGGGACAGACTACATGTTCACTGACTTCCATCACTCAAAAAGAACTTTCAAGATGCATCAGTAAGAGGACAAAGAGGTTCATTAGGCAACACATTAAAATACACACTCAAACAAACAGTGTGGGAAAGTGAGAGAGACAGAGACAGGGACAGAGAGTGAAAGTACTTATGGTCTCGAACTGTGAATATTTATGCAGGATTTGGAGGAAGAAATCTGTAGAATTCAAGAATCTGTGGGAAGAAGACGCAACAGAGGAAAAACGGCTCCCAATCTGCTGGATGTCACATTGTGCCAAGTTTGTGAATATCAATGAATGAATTCTGACGGACATGGAAGTTAAGAGGAGAAAAGTTTTAGTAAAAGAAAGGTCCTGAGAGACAGGAGAGGTCCCAAAGGGGCTGCCATAGAAGGTACTTCTCCAAGGATGTTTTAGAGAGCAAAATCACAAGGTGGGCACCACAAGGGTCAAACTACAATCAACCACTAGGATTGCAAGTATAGACACTTAGTTAACATTGATTTACTAAGGAAGTGAGGCACACAGCAAGAGTATATGATGAGCCTCCTTAACGCTGGGTTATCTATAACTTCTGCCACAGAAAGAGAAAAGACATTTTTTTGGAAAGGGACAGGAAGGCTTGGGTCTGATGTTCTGATCGTCTGGATAGGATCCCTCCTTGACTACTGCACTGGGCATTGTTAATGATGGCATAATCTCCAATGCTACTTCTCTCTGAGGGAGGCATGCAAGCCCAGCCATGTGTCTCTGTCCTGGAGCCTGGCCTCCTTTGGATGTGTCTCCTGCCAGTTCGCATCTTCTGCACTAATCCCCAGGGAGCCTGTCCCTGTGTGACTTCCTATCTAACTGAGCTATCTACAATAAGGGGATCCAATTTACAGATGAAAGACAAGGGCTCTTTCTGCAGGGCAAGGGTGGTGGCCCATTGCTAGGTGACAGCCATCACAAGTAACAGCTGTAGCCCATCCACAGCTGAGAGGAGACAGCACAGGTCTGCTCACAGGTGAAAATGGCCCATTTTCAGGCAGAAAGGAATGACCCCGCCTTATTCTGTCTCTAAGAACCTTAGGAACTTTTTTTTTTCTAGATTTGTGTCCTGAACACAAACTTTTAGTTTTTACTATCAGTGAAATTTTAAAATTATGATTTTTCTTGTTTCCTTTCTACCTTCTATTTTTCCTATCCTGTCCCAGTATCTCTATAAAAATAAAACCTACAAGTGGCTAGGGATTTAGCTCAGTGGCTAAAGTGCCTGCCTGGTAAGTGCAAGGTCATGAGTTTGATCCCCAGTACCAAAAAATAAATAAAAATTAAAAAATAAAACCTACATCTTAAATCACTGGAAAATTTGAGTTAGATGCACAGTGGGGAAATACCATGACATACCATCAGTTATGGGTATCATTTTTAAAAGGTGACACTATTCAGTATGGTTTAAGAATGGTGAGAAGCTGGAGTTGTCATACATCACTGGTTAGATTATGAAATCAAAAATCATTTTGGGAAGTGTTTCGTTGCCCACTAGCATGGGTCCTTGCTTTTAATAATAATGGAAATTAAAACTAAAGCACAAACTTACGAAGAAAAATGTTTTAACTGGAAAGTTAGAGGACCTCAGTCCTGGTGTCACAGTTCTCCATCTCTGTGGCTTTGGGGTGATTTTGTTTCCAGGTTCCTGCAGGTTCAGGACATGGCTGGAGAATTTCTGCACATACTTAACATCTCTGCAGATTCCTCAGCCTGGTGTCCTCAGTTTTGAAAGGGGGTGGGTGGGTGTTATTTAAATTCAGGGTAATCAACCTTTTCTCGCCAACTTTTAGATAGATACTTCCTAAGAATTAACGTTTCTGTATACATAGCTGAGGAGAGATTTGGTCCAACAGTTACAGGAACCAAGGATACAAAAAGAAAGTGAAAGCCTGTCCTGCTTTTAGTTACCTACTGGGCATCTGTGACCCCATGAAGAATTGTGTCACATAAAATTGCCTTCTCAGTCCCTGGCTGTCCCAGGAGGAAACACCAGTCATGGTTTAACCAGCAGCAGTAAGGGCCCAGAATTTGGCCTGTTTGCTGATCCCTATATCTCTAAGGATGGCACTGTCCTGGTGCAGTTAAAAGGGGCTGCATTTACCTGCCTCAGAGAGAAGTGAGTTCCTGTTTACTCCCAGGGTGGGTGTCTCTGTCCAGCTGGTTCTGAGACCTGGAGGTGTCTCCAGCACCTCACCAAGCATCTGAACCTCATGTGGGCCTGGACCATAACAGCACACTTCGAGGATTTTATACTTCTGAGCTAAAGTTTGAAACCACAAGTTTGTGAGACCTTATTTATAGCTAATGATTAAGAAAGGTGGGGGAATCCATGACTGCTTTGCTTTTTTAAATAGCCCCTGCCTCCTGTCTCCAGCCAACTGATGATTGATTAACTTTCTGTCTGACATGATCGGGTCCATTTGACAGATTCTTTATGGTTAAAAACATACGCTTACTAGAAGGCACAGCAATTATCCTCCTGTTTACTTAAAAGAAATGAAAATACACACTCACATAAAGATTATGAAGTGATTCATAATAACGGGAAAGCAGGTGTCCATCAAGTGGTAAATGGAAAAATAAAGCAGGCCATCCCCATCGTGACCTGGAATCTCCAATTAACTACTGAAAAATGCAATAGCATCAATAGGCAAAATGTCAGGCACAAATAGATAGATTCTGCAACATTCCATTTTTTTTAAACTCTAGAACAGAGCAGTTTAAGCTACGTTGGCAGAAGATTAGTTTGGTTGGTGCTCAGGGTGGAGAAAACCAGCAACTGACAACCATCCTTAGGGAGGGAGGCGATGTGGAGAGATGCCAAAGATAGAGTACATCTTGATCATGGTAGTGATTACACAAGTGTATAAATATGTCAAAACTCACTGAAACATAGATAAATGAGTGCATTTTACTGTATGCAAACGCTGCCTCGCTAAAGCTGACTTTTAGAAAATATTGAGCTTGAAATAGAAACAAGTTTTATATCTCTTTCATTTATTATTCTTTTACTCATCGTGAGTTAATATGTCTGACTACTCTGAAGATATTGTGAAACCAGTGTATGTAAAAGCAGCTACCAAGGCAAGCTGGTTTTCTGCTAAGAGTTAGGACAATATGAACAATGTTGTTTTAGTGTCTATAAAGAGCCTTATCTCTGTGTACTTTGGATTATTGTGTATCTTTATAGCAGTAGCTGTACACTGCCAATCTCTTTTTATGCTGCTGTTAATGCTGACACTCAGATTGTGTTATCTAAACCACCCAGTCCTGAAATGGAAAAGTTACAACATGAAAACTGTGTGCCAGTTCAAGAATCCACTGCCCAGCCCATCACCTGCCCTGCATTCCCCAAGAGCAGGGCCGAGAACTCTGAACAGCTGGACAGCCGCCCTTGGAAAGAATATCCCTGCCTCTGCTGCTTTTTAGGGGACTGGGGGAGATAAAATAGGACTGCCAGATGGCTGTAACTCATCACCGCCTGGCAGCATTCAGGGTGAAATGAGTATAAATTCATCAACATTCAGGGGATGAATGGCAAGGGGAGATTATGTTGATGCTATTTTAGTGCAAGTTAAATTAAACCTGTAGAACTGACAACAGGCGTTCATCTCCCTTTGCCTCCAGGCATAGTGCAAACAAGCTCCAGGCTCTTTATCCAAACAAGTGTTATCTTTCTGTTACTACCTAGTAAAATCATCTAGTGATGATCTGCTAGGTTACCCCTCATGGTTAACACAGACCTGGGCATTGTACTTACTCTGCTAACAAGAGAGCAAAGCCTGTCCTGTACTGCAGAGATGGGTCCTGGACAGAAAGCAAGGCTCCTGCAAGCTGGCAGTCCAACTCCTCAGGTGTCTGCAAACAGTCAGGCTGAATGGGTGCTGGATTTACTGCAGTCTGCAGCAGACATGGCAAGGATTTTTTTTCCTAAAGGAAAATTGAAATAAAATTGTAGGATGTTTTTAAGCATTAAGATTAAAATTTTGTATTATACTTAATGGCACCGTGTTGAATTACCTTCTTTGTGACATGCATTTAGGAATAAGGCTATAAGGTAGAAAAAGGTTGGCCCTCAATTAAGAAATAAATTAACCGGCAGCCTCTGAATTAAATTTAATTCCTGCTCAGCCAACATTCCTCTTTGACATGTCTCCTGGAGTCTCAGACATCTCTCTTATCCCCTTCTAATACGAATGTGGCCCTCTTTGCCAATTGCCTCCGTATCTTTGAGTCACAAACAAAAAATCAGCACAGTGGGGAGCAGGTGTGCTTCCGAAACCCATTCCTGCACCAGGACATCTAACACCACTGAATGATGTGCAGAAATGATCACAATCACACAAACACTTCACCAACCAAACCACACAAATCCCCAACTCATCTTCTCCCTAGAATGGCCCCAAACATGCATATGGCAGCTCTAACACACCTCAGTATAAGTCATGTGACAGACACACAGGAAGCTGAAACAGAAGGAGGGAGTATTGCTTTCTTCTATAAAATTTACAAAACCTGCAGCCATGGGTATGGATCTCAGCATTGTTGCCTGGATATTGGAAGAAATCATGCCAATGAGAAATGCTGAAATCTGAACTTCATTGCTCTCATAGGAAATCAGCCTCTGTTTGTACCTCTCATGTCACAATTGTGATGACTGGCTAAAACCTACAGAGAAAAGGGAAAGAAAACTGGGATGAAGCAAAACTTCCAATGTCAGATACTCCAGATTGGTTCAAACACAAGTAACTCCTCAGTGAGTCAAAGTGCTGTCCTCTCCCTGCAGATCTCAACGTGCAACACTTGCACTGGGTCACCACAGACTTTTGGTAATGACTAGAAACCTAAGGGCCCCAATCCAAAAAGCTGGAGTCCTTAGAAAAGAGAGACACCATGAGTTCGGGCCATGCAAGAGCATAAAGAAAGTGGCTGTCGGCAACAAGAAGCCAGCCCTGCTGGCATCCTGACCCGACTTGTAGACTCCAGAACCTTGAAGAACTGTAATTCCATTACATGAGCTATACAATCTGCTTTTGTGATTGCAGCCCTGGTGGCCTGATACACCTTCCCTGACAGCCCGGCTAAAATTAACATTCCTTCTGTTCTCTCTCTCCTTGTCCTGCCTTATTTTTCTGCAGAGCATCCCCTACTACTTGAAACCGTGTATGTATTTCTCCAGGAGGCTGAGAGGTAGTGGAGTTTAGGGGTGCGTGTTTGGTCCTTGGGTCCGGGTCTAGACTCCAGCTCTGTAGAATGTGAAGTCTAAGAAAGGTTCATAAACTTCTCCATCTGTAAAATAGCTCTGGCTTCAGGAGCACTGTTCTGGGAATCTAACGTGACACCCTTAGAGAGTGTCTGGGAAAAGGCAAGCATTCAGTATCCATTCCCTGCTATTGCACACTTCCTGTCCACCCCACTGGAATGGAAGTTCCACATAGGCAGGGACGTGGTCTCATCCATGAATACGTTCACAACCCAACAGAGAGCTCCTGGGCATATTTGACTGCAAAGATGAATAGCCAAGGCCTGGGGTTTTTTCCAAGTTTTCAGAGTAGGGATCATCTTTCCTTATAACCTGACACTCTCAGGCTTATGGGCCCCTCATTTTTTTCTCTCTAGGACTGCAGCCAAGTGATGTGAGTCTGGCTGACACAGGATAATGAGCAAAGTTCAGAAGGGCAGATAACAAGAGCCAGAGAAACATAAGCTTTCCAAACTCTAGGGTTCACCCTGGCATAAGCAGTGCCGCATTTATATTGTGGGCAATGCTTCATTTCAACCACAACAAGAAGATGCTTGTGTGTAGGTAACTCAAACCACTGCATTTGGAACTCCTCGGTTTTGTAGTTTTGTTGGTGTTTGTTTTTGGTGTCATTTGAGGGGCTGTGTGTCATTTGAGAATCCAGGTATTAGTCAACAGAACTTTGGCACCTTCCACCATTGAACTCAGGACTTTGCTTGCCCTGCAACAGATCACTGCAATGAGTCATTCGTTGCAGCTCAGTTAGATAAATGAAGAACCCAAACCAGATGCTTGCTGGGCTTGGCGTTAGCTTCCATAGGTCACAATAGCTCTGGAAGGCTTTTTGCCAGCTGTCACCAAGAGCCCAGGAAAATAGATGATTTAAATTGTTTCCCAGGAATTGTCTTCTAAATATCAACTTTTCCAAATCATTTGTGCCTTAAATAAACTTGTAAGTCAGCAGTGGGGCCATTCCTGACTACGGTTATTAATAGGAAGTTTCAGTGCCCAATTTTCCTTTATTTTTACCTAAGTAGATTTTTCCTGTCATCTTAATGATCACACCTACACAGAAGACAGGAGAAAAAAAACACTGCTGTTATAGTACCAAATTGTGCACTTTTTATGGAACTCCAACCCAAATCAAATAGAAAGACTCTATTTAAAACATTTTCATCTTTTCAATAACTTCTGGGTTTCCTATGTATAAAACTCCAAGACATCAGTTTAAATTAGGATAAGAACCTTTATACATACAAAAGTTCTTAAGCTTTAAAGGATGTATAACTAAATTATGATATTTAATTCACCAAAAATGAGAAAATTTTGTAAATTAGGAAAGCATTTTATACTAGCAATAAGCAATCAGAAATTAAAATGTGAGAAGCAATCACATAAAAATATGAAATGGTAATAAGTCTGAAAAAATATATTCAAGACTGATAGGCTAAAAACTATAGAACATTGTTGAGAAAAATCAAAGACAACTCAAAGAAGCAGAAAGATATGTTCATGAGCTGAAAGGTTTGATATTGTTTAAATACCAGTTTTCTCCCCACATTTACCTACAGATGTAATATAATCCAAATTTAAATCCTAGATTCTTTTGTACAAATTGATAAAATAATTCAAAATTGATATGTAAATGACAATGACCTAACTAGCTAAAATAACTTTCAAAAAGAAAACAAAGATTGGGAGATTAACAGTACCAGATTTCAAGACTTATTTTAAATACCAGCAGGGTTGGTGCAAAGTTAACAAACAGACCCACAGATCAGATGAAAGTGCAGAAATAGAGCCCCACATAACTGACCTCTGATTTTTTTACTAAGGGCAGTCTTTACAATAAATAGTACATAAACAATTAAAGATACATATGCAAAAAAGAAAGAATCTTAGCTCACACCTATCACCATAGACAAAAGTTAACTCACACTACATCATAGACTAAATATAATTCTAAAACTATAAAGATTTCCAGAAGAAAATGTAAGAATAGATCTTTGTGATCCTGGGTTTAGTAAAGAGGTCTTAAACAGAAAAGGCACAATCTATATAATTTAATAAGAAAATATTACAAGATTTTTTTTTCTTAAAATGTGAAGAATAGCCAGGCATGGTGGCATATGCCTATAATCTCAGTCACCTGGCAGGCTGAGGCAGGAGGATCTCACATTCAAGGTCAGCCTGGGATAATTTAATTACACCCTGTGTCAAAATAAAAATAAGAAGGGTCAGATGGCTCAGTGGCAGAGAGCTTGCCCAAAACACTAGGACCTGGTTTCAATTCCCATTCTGAAGTTAGGACAGAAGAAATAAGAAGTGGGTAGACAAGAGAGAAGAAAATTGAGATTTTAAAGTTATACTCCTAAGAAAAACTCAAGCCTCAAGACAAGCTCGTTTCCTGCTTCCAGAGCCACCCGGACTTGTGATCTTCCTCCTTCTGTGCTTACAGAAAATAGTGTTCAATTCCTAACGGTCCTTTCCAGCCCCTAAGTTACACCAACAAATTGTCCTTTCCTCCCGACCAGAAAACAGCTGCATTGGACTGCACAACTCAACTCCAGACAGTGTTATCTCGAGGTCCTTGTCTTGCAGTAGACTGACAGACAGACAGCGAGAACACACCTCCTAAATCCCCGACCTCGGAGACCCCCTTTAAACTGATTAAGTGTTCCCTCACTTCCGCGCACTCCTGCTCGGCCTTGAGCGTGTCCTGTATCTCTGTCCAGTAAACGTTCCCGTGTCTCTTTCACCGACATGTTTTGAAAATCCTTCTACTGTGATGACAGTCAGCAAGCCCTCAAACTTACTGTAAAAGGATGGGTTAAGTTCCTTATTGCAACCTCAGGTGACTGAAGACCCAGCCACACCGCACAGTAGGACCAGGGAGGACCGAACAGCAAAACGAGATGCTACTTTATGTGGTTGCTTTCCTGGCTAATGTTGGAAAGACTCCGTGTGCCAAGAATTGCTGAGTGGTGAAGGAACGGGAACCTCATGCACTATGCTTCAGGGCATAAAAGTTCCTCAAGCTTTATTTCACCCTCTAGGAAAAGTTCTCGAGGCTCCCGAGCTGGGCCGGGGGCTGGGCCTTCCACCTGTACCTGTGCTGTCCCGCCAAACCCGCTCTGAAAGTGCGCGACTAAGATTAGAGCGATCTCGGCCTCAGACACATGTAATGGTTCATATAACACAAGCCACCAAAGGGCGAGACCCAGCAGACTCAGACTATACCCCTCTTAGAGATACCCGAACCCCTCGAATGTGCCCCACACCCCTTTCCCTTTTGAGGGTCTGCACTGTGTTTCTTTGAGTGTGTACTTTTAAATTCTGCCTAATACATCCCTTTGTGCCTCCCTCCCTGTAAAGGGGCTGCTCGAAGTGGGACACTTTACATCCTGGATAAAAGGAAGCAGAGAAACCTCGACCCCCCAGAGTCACCCCACCTCCGCCAGCCCAGCGCTGCTCCCTAGAAGAGCTGGAGAAAGGCCTCCACTCCGAGCCCTTTGTACCTCGCGGCCCAGTTACAGAGTAACCTGCCTGCAAACCTCCCAGAATCGCCGAAGAGAGCAAAGTCCGCGCGAAGCACCCAGAGGAGCCGGGCTGGGAAGGCCAACGCCCGGGGAGAGCTCCCGGCCAGCCAGCCGGGTTCATGCAGTCGCTGGCCGGCCCGGTGCTGCGCGCCTTCCTGCGGGAGTTCCCGGGCGGGCTCCTGTTCGTGGGCGTCTTCCTGCCCGGGGCTCTGCTGCTGCTGCTCCTCATCGCCTGCTTCCGGGCCCAGCTGCTGGAGGGTGAGTGCGCCCCACCCAGGCAGGGCTCCGGCGGCCCCCTGAGAACACCGGTTTCTCCCCCACCCCGCGCAGCCGGCTGCCCCGGGCCTGGGCACCCTTGAGGCAGCGGCCCGGCCTGCACTGCAGACTGAGTGCTAGGAGCAGGGCCGCCGCTGCTGGTGGGGGCGCCCACTTTGCCTCCTCGCCTCTCCTCTCTTGTCTTTGAGGCCAAAGACTTGGAAACATCAAAATATTATGCGCGGCCTGCCTTGTGGAGCGGTCAGGTGTGTGTGCATGTGCGTGCATGCGCGTGCGTGCGTGCGTGTGTCCCCGTGTGTGTCGCTGCACGTGTGTGCACCCATCACTATGTGCGTACCCAGCTTTCTCAGCCACTGAACTTGCAGGCAGGAAATGTCCCCGACATCACGCTATCACGGGGTTCTGATAAAGACGCCTTTAATATAGTTTATAGCATTTGGGTGAGAGAGGAGGAAGGGGGGCGGGGATGCTTTGGAAAGCTTTGGGCGTGGCTTGGAATAAATGACCATTTGGACCCCCATTAAGGCTATAGTATTAAAATTAATGACACGGGGCTGTGGTGAGGGAGACTGTTAGTTCTGTGTCCAGCAAATGTCAGATACCATAGGTGTTAATCCCTATTTTAGCGATATTGGTAAAAATCAGTCTATTTCTTAATTTGGATGGTGTCATATAAACCACCAAAAAAACCTCTCATCCTCCACAAAAACTTGTCAAGTTCAAGCAATGACCTTGCATATGTGCAGAATCTTCAAACTGACACCACCATATATAACCTAAAGTGGAACAGCAGAGCAAATAGGGACATTTATGTCTATGATGAGATTTAGATCAGAGAAAAATCCCAGAGGCCACAGAGTGTGTTATAGAGCCCCAAGTTTTGCATTTTAACCACTCTAACACCCGACAGCTTTTCATTTTGGGGGTACACCTCATTTTTACGAATGGCTGTCCATCGGGTGATTACACTATGCTTCATGTCCCTCTGCGGGATTCGTATGACAGTCCTCTTGTTAAGTCAGTTCAGCTTCCATTCCCCAAGCTCTGTTGACTGTGCGTTCTGCCACTCAGCCATTCATGATCATTTTACTTCAGAAAAGGGAGAGAGAAGCAGAATCAGTCTCCACGATCCCGGCTACCACGCTCCTTCAGTCTTCCAAGGTGGTGTCATACCCGCTGACGTGAGCCTCTCCTTGCTGAAGAACTGCATGGTTGTTGTAGTGACTGAGGTCAGTTACACACATCCCAGGTCCCTGACACCGAGCACCCAAGGAGAGTAAGGCATGCAGTGTCCACTTCGGGAATTTGCACATTTTGTGTGGTTCCCAGGTTCTATCTCTAGCTGCTTCTTTGGCAAGATTAAAAACTTTGGTATCTCAAAAAAGAAAAATAAAAAATATCAAGCATGAATAAGGTCAGGATAGTTTCATGGGTTTCAGTCTCACTGCCCCCCCCCCCCGCACCCCCTGCCACCGTTGTTACAGATCAGGTAATTAAGAGGACTTCTGGTGTTTGGGCAGACTGCCAAAGAAGAGGGGTCTGGGTTTTAAAGCTTTTTCCCTGGGAAAACATCTGTAATATGTAAAAAATTTAAGTGAGCCTACAGGACTTTATTTAGATCATTCTGTGGCATCAGCACATCAGGAGCTTTCAGAATGTCCCAGAGAAGTCCCATGGCAGCCAGGAGTGTGGCCCGGCAGCCTGAGGCCAGGGCCAGAGCTGTGCAGGTGAAGCGCTCACGCCGCGCCTGTCCCAGGGAAGTGTTCCGAGAGTGTGCACCCTGTGATAATGTGCACAGTGCTCCTTTCTGTCTTCAGCACGGTCCTGCCCAGGAAAGTTGTCCAGAGACCAAATGAGAGGCAAAAACTCTCTGGAGTTTCAGCTCCATGGAATGAGAACTGCTAGTGAAGGGCCTGAGAGAACAGAAGGCCCCAAAGAAACATTCTTCCTGCGTCCTTCCTTCTCCCTTCTTCACCCCAAGTTCTGACATGCTGAGGAGCTCGTCCTGTCTCACAATTGTGAATCCATTCCTTCCCCTAAAAGCCTCTACTCTTTTGCAGCTTAGGATCTAACCCTGAGGGACAGCAAGATGCCAGGCTCACACATCTAGGGCCAGCCTTTCTGAGCAGGGTCCTTTGACCCATTAAGAGCTTGCTCCAAAGCTGCTCCATTCTTCTGGATCACAGCAGTTTTCATTCATTCACCTGACAGTGTTTGTGAATATTTGTGAAACTGTCTATCTTAAGTTTGTTATCTCTCTGTATAACTGAATACTATTGACTGGGTAATTCATAAAGAAATTAAATTCTTGTCTTCCAATTCTGGAGTCTGGGAAGTCCACATTCAAAGGCTGCGTCTGGTGAGGGTCTTCAAGCTGATGGGAACTCTCAACAGGTCCCAAGGCAGAGCGTCCCCTGGTGAGAGGAGCACATCCGAGAGACACAGACAAGCTGGTTATTGTAACCAACCCCCGTCATCATGTTGTTGAGGAAGGCAGAGTTCTCATGAGCTGACCACCTCCTACAGGTCACACCTGGTCCCACTTAGTATCCTCAGTGGCCCCTGAACTTCAACCTGAACCCCAGCTCTGCCATACACAAGGTTTGTCCTGGACACCAGAACAGACTTTTACTATGGGCCTTCAGGCCTGAAAGAAAACAATCTCAGTTCTAGAAAACCATCAAAGGGCAGTGGAGAGGTGGCTCCTAGCGAGTACACAGCCCTGAGTTTCATCTTCAACACAAAAAGAAAGAAAGAAAAAGCACAAACAGCATCTGATAAAAGCATCATTAAATGTTAGAGACGTTACAAATCTGTTTCTGAACCTGGTCTCAGTCAATATCTGGTCAAAAAAACTGAAGAATGATCTGTTCTTTCTTTCCTGAATGTCAAACTGAGCCCTGCAGCCAGAGGCAGGATCAGCGATGCATGGAGCCACCTGGTCCACTGTCACCTGCCTTGCTGGCTGTCGGGGAAGTGGGCTGAGCTTCCAGGTTATACAGAGGGAGAGAGGACCGAAGGGGCCGGGAGGATGCGGTCTCCTACGGCGTAGCCAGAATCTCTGCATGAGCACTCAATGCAGCCGTGTTGTTTCAAAAGGATTGCTCTTTCTGTCACCATTTTCCTCAGGAAAAGCAATAATATTCTCTCTGAAGTTTGAGAGCCAGTGAAAATGGCATCATTTAGCCCAAAATAAAATATCACCAGTTTGTATCTCCATTTAGCAACACTCACTTAAAAACTGTAAACAGATGGGCAAATGTCATGTCATTTATCTTCCAGCCAGGCTGTGGCAAGTGTAATCATTCCTGTTTTGTCCCTGTAAAGAGAGGGACATTGACAGATGAACTGGTGTGCTCACAGAGCCCCGGAGCCCTGCATCTAAAACAGAAAACCAGCCTGCTTCTCTCCTACATCCTGGACCATCCAACAGGCGAGCCATTTTAAGACGTGATAGTCTTCAAGCCTTAGGAGGTAACGGTGCCTGTAAATTTAATTAGGAGGTGGAGAATATCAATTTTCTCACAAAGGAAGACAGAAAATTCTCTGACATCCTGTACCCCCCAAGCCATCAGCTCCCTTGAGAAGGGGCTCCTAGGGTGGAGGTTTGCCTCTTAAACTTCCCATGTCCAAACCCTTCACCACTGCCACCCCCATGCTACATCTCCTAGAGAAGTTCGATTACCTTACCATCCACACACTCCGTCCTGAGATTTCTAAAACCACTTCTAATCCATCCCCCAAACTACCATCAAAGAACAAATCATCCTCTAAAATAACCAAATAACCAATATTAGTATTTTTAAATTTGTGTCTATTGAATATCTTAAATTTTGTGTGGAGTTAGATCCAAAATAAGGTAATGGAAACCGAGCATGGTGGCACACGCCTGTAATCCCCGCACATGGGAGGCTCAAGCAGAACTGCCACAAACTAAAGGCTAGCCTGGATTACATAGCCAATTCAAGGCCAGTCTGAGGTACATAACAAGACCCTGTCTTAAAAAACAAAAACAGCAACAAAAATAAGGTCTTCGATCAGCTTCTGGCCATTGGTAATTTTCATTCTACAACAGACAACTGAGGTATTGCAGCTATATAGGGTGTCTAAGCATTTTCACAGTGGCCAGCCATCAAAATGGAAAAAAATAATTATTTGAAAAGATCAGATGACCTGAGATTTCACAGATAACTACTGTGAAGAACTGGGACTATGGAGTTAAGCTAAACAGAGTTTGAATTCCAGCTCTGTAACCATGGTCTCTCAACCTTTTAAAGCTTGAACTTTCTAGTCTGTGAAATAGAAATAGCTTCAGAGTCCAGCTAGAGGATTGGTGTGGGGGATTAAGTCAGGCCACCCACACCAGGCCCTGCTCTGAACAACTGTTAGTTATTATTATCCCTGGTGGCTCATAAATTCCAAGAAGGCAGTGTTTGTGTCATTATAATGATAGCTATGGTTAAAACTGCCTTAAAATAGTGAAGCAAATTACCTTATGCTACTCACCTCAAAAACAACAGAGGCAGGATTTGAGCCCTGGCTGGCTGACTCTGGACTCATCCCTCTCAGCCAACACACTACTCCTGGGTACTGAACACTGGATGTTGTATCTGCCCAATATGTGAATCTTTTTGACCCAAGCAAATAAACTTCTGACCAGGTTCAGAAAGAACTGTGTAGCTGGGCATGGTGGTGCACGCCTGTAATCCCAGCATCTCAGCACTCGGCAGGCTGAGGCAGGCAGACTTCTGTGAGTTCAAGTTGGGCCTGGGATATAAAGTGATAAAAGGCCAGCCTGAACATAGCAAGACCTTGCCTCAAAGACAAATAATAATAATAATAATAATAATAATAATAAAACAAAACCACCTAGTAAGGTATGAAATTTACAAAAGCTTTGAAGGAGTTGATGAATTTTTATATGAGAAGTAATTATTATTGACAGTGGCTCCTAATATGATGATCTACCCTCATCAGGGAGACAGTTCACACCCAAGGCCCAAGGGGGAAAATGAACCACACTGCTTGCAGACTTCCCCACAAGAGCAAACTCACATGTTTCGAGACCACCTCTCAGTCTAACCTTTCCCTGCAGACCCTTGATAGATGCACTGAAGTAATGTGCTGGCCCGATGGCAAGCTCTTGTATTTCTCTCCTTTCAGTCTTGTTTGGGTCTCCCGTTTTTAGCTGTGCAATCTCCGTGTGGGGCCTCATTCACAGCACCCAGTGTTTGTTAGCTGTCCATCATTTAGAATGAAAATGTTTCAGTGAGTTCATAGTCTAAGCTATGGATAATTCCAAGGAGAATCTCCAAAACAGCAATAAGCTGTGTGGAAAGCCATGGACCCTGTTGCAGAAGGTGTGACTCCAAAGTCACACTGCCTGGAATCAAATCCTGAATGCACTGGCTCTTTTGATGTTGGGAAAATGGCTTCATCTGCATCTCTCTCTATCTCAGGCTGCTCGTCTTAAAGTTAAAAATATAATAGTGGTGACTAGCTTACAATGTCATTGCAATAATTAGATAAGAAAAAAAAGAATGCTGTTCTCTTCAGTTAAAAAAAAAAGATAGTTCATGCAAAGGGCTCCTTGGCCACGTAGCAAGTGCTAGACAAGCACTCCAGCAAGTCTCGAGATGCGTGCAGCTGAGGGCTGTCCTCCTCGACCCATATGCGCCTTCTCCTGAGTAAGACAGGTTTTTCTGAGAGCCAGAAGAATCCAGGCCACGAAGAGTGTGTGTCTCCTGGGATGCACGGCATGTAAAGTATTTCGCAAGGGATAAACTGCATGGATTCCATAGGGGACCCAAAGGGAACATTTCATGTTTGAGTCTATCAATTTTTTTTTATATCATCCATGGGACTAGAAAGTCCTCATATCTGGCTTGATCTGACTAATTGTAATTCTGAAAATGAAAACTTCAAACGTAAACGCAAGGTCTGTTGGTTGTGTTTTAGTGGCAGCCAGGAAGGGAAATGTGTTTTTTGATGTACCAGGAACATCCCAAGAAATATGTGTGGATATGTAAGGGATCTTAAGGCTAATTTGGCTAGAGATACTAGTAATTTACTAGTAATTTGCCAGAGATACTAGTTGAAGCTACAGGTACAGCTAGGAGTTTACGGAAAGATGGTACATAACAAAAAGTGGAGGATGAACAGAGAAAGGGCATGTGTGAAATGCTACAGAGGCCAACAGAGAATTAAAAATGCCTCCAGATTTTGAAAAAAGGAGTAATTAAGATGACATCAGTGAGTTTTAATATCTTAGTAGAGTTGTTTTAACTGAAGCCATGTTCTAAGGGGTTAAAGAATGGGAAAATTGCAAAAAGTTGAAATGGTTGTCAGTAAAAGGTTGCCAAACACTGAGAGAAAAACACTAATTTGTTTTGTCAAAAAATTATCTAGTGCCCAAATACTCTTTGAGGGGGAACAGGGGTAGAACTTCTGTTTTACTCTTCTCTAGTTCCTGGCCTATAGACAAGTTTAAAAAAGGCTTACTGAACTTAAGGGTCTTAATGAAATCTGAACATGAGACACCCTCAGCATGTGACAGTGATTAAGAGTGGGCTTCTGACTACTCTAACCATGCTGATTCTTCAGCAGTGCCTGAACCCAGAGATCTTACAATCGGATCTGAAGACGGGGGCTTCTGTAACTCACCAGGGCCACAGGCATCACCAAATGTGGCCAGCTGCAACTCTGGCACCCAGCTGTCTCCAAATTACTAATTGGTATTTTCCCTTTCAGTAGACAAAGAACTCTCTCCTTCTCCTGATGGCCAACCCAAGTGCATGGGCTGCTCTTCCCTGTCCCAGCAAATGAAACGGAGGCGACCGTAGGAACTGATCAATGGCCTGCAGTTAAGCTGATACAGTAGACTGATAAACTAAAAACGGCAGCAGGAAAGGAAAAGAATACACTGAAAAGTGTCAGACACTTTACCCAATAAGACTTTTGTGAGACTCAGCTTTAAGGCAGCTCTGTAGGAAATGCCAAAAGCCTGCGACTTTCTTGGATATGCTCAATGGACTGGATGCATGATGCTTTGCTGTTCTTACAACTATGCTTACCTTGAAAGACATACTTTAAAAATGAAATTCATGGGCATCATCACTACCATAACCCCATGGAAGCCTACATTACCCTGATGTTAGAGGTGAGGAAACAGGAAGAGATCAAGTGAACAGCAAAAGATGAGAACCTTGGGAAGAACTCTGGGAATGACCCATTGTCCTTTGGCAGTTCAGCTGCACTCAGGTGACTTCACCAGTTCAAGGTGACTTCTGGGCCTGAGTCTGCATCTCCCCATTTCCCAAAGGACCTCATGACTCATCACCATGACAAAAAAACAAGCAGATTCTCCCAATATGAGGTATGATTCATTCATCCATGTACTTCTCCACATGGGACCTGGAAATGCTGACAAATTGGGGCTGGGAAAAGGAAATATAATGTTCGCATAATTCCTGAGGGGACTAATTTAAAAGTCTTTGCCTCTAAAACCAAAACGCCAGGGAGCTATCCCTAAACGTGGGATGAAGTCAACATTTCACTGGCAGTACCAGTTCAAATGATGTTCACTACTACCTAAATCTGGTTGCATTTCAGTTTTCTTGCATGACTCTAACAGCTATTAGGGATTCACTGTGTGAAATAAATTTGGTCACATGTAACAAACGCACCAATTTTAGTAGTCAGAGTCACGTAAAAGGCTGTGTGACAGATGACAAGAAGCAAACACGCATCACTAGTACCAACATGCCTTGCGTCCCGTTAGCCGCACCCTGAAGTTCATGCGTTGTGAGCAGTCTGTCTGTACTTTGAGTAGTGTAACTCACTGTCCCACTAAGGCACGTCTCCAGCTCAGTGCTCAGATACAACTCCAATGTCTGCTGGGACGTGCAGATGGAGATGAGTTATAACAACAGCGGTCATGCCATATGGAGTGGCATGATTCTTTCAGTTTGGGGAAGGATCTCTTTCTAGTTCTGGGTGGAATCAGCTTGTGTAAAAATGCTTTCTTTAGCAGAAGGTGTGAAAGGATGCCTCATATTTTCACCACAGGCAGCTGCCAGGCAAATCTGAGAATCAGTCACCAGGGTTTACTCCATCTTCCTCCAGAAACAGAAGCCCAAGTTCTGCCTCTGGTGGCTGCCAGCCCACCGTCTCACCACGGTGCTGAGAGATGACTTTAATCACATATGTTCTCAGCAGCAAGCATAACCAAGAAGTTTAAAGCAAGATCCAGGTAAGATGGGACTGAAGAATACCCAATGAAGTTATCATCAGATTCGTGAACCTTTTTTAATTAGGGGACCACCAAAATGTTAGTATTCCCACAGAGAGAACAGCAAACGTTGGTTGTCTACTGAACATGACCAAGCAGGCACATGGCCACACCTCTGCTTCCTGTGTGCACAGTCTGTCTCCGTCTATCATTGTCACAGCTTCTGCCCAAAGGAGCCACCTCCACCTCGCCACGTCTCCACCTTTCCTGCTCTCAGGTCCCACATCTGCCCCAAAGCGTCTTATTAGGGATCACAGATCTTTTCATGCCCCAAATGGCCTCAACCCAACAGTTCCGAATCTGATACCTAATGTTCTATTCTTGGAAATAATTCTCTGTTAGAGATATAATGTACCTCCAACTTGAAACTTTCAATAAAATTCTTCAATGGGTGTTAAGGTCTGTCACATTGCCATTATTTATTAGTCAACTGAAAAGTTCCCAACAAACACTTCACAACTAACCCAAAGCTGTCAAGCGTTCTGTTTCTGTTGCGGACAGTGTTAGGAATCTGACACCTGGCTTTTGTCAAAGATGGTCTGCCGACCTGCAGATGTTCATCAGACAAGGTCTCAGAGCTGCCATCACAATTTACACAGTGCCACGTTAGCTTAGCTTAAGAGTGACAGCACAAAAAAGGGAACATAATTCAAAAATGTTCATTAATAATTACCATCAAATAGACTAGGAACTTTAAAATATGTTGTTTTAAAACTTTCCAAGTTCATATCTCAAAATCTTGTTAATCCACTCCTGTTTATCACTTGGGGCTTTGAAAGCTATTTAGCAGGTGAGATGACATCCTGAGATGTAAAATGTTGATGTGCTATGTGGGAATAATCATCAGCACTGCTCTGAGTGCTTCTTTGGGTGCTACATCCCCAGAGACACTCTCCCTGCCGCCAGGATGCCAGGCTGTCCTTGCATTTCTGCTGTCTAAAAACTGAGCCCTGACTACACCTGGTACTTTCTACTCTATGGTGCTCCAGACAAACTTTCTATCATGAATGTTAGCTATTATCATCAGACACAGAGAACAACACAGTGCTCAGACCCCTGGGAAGGTCTCGGATTTAATTATGAATATTCTACCTACTAGCACTGTGATGAGAAATATATTCACAGAACTACAGTTGGTTCCACAGGATTTCCAAGGCTTGGCTTGCAGAGACAGGCTTCTCCAGAGAGTGGTTGTTTTTGTAACAATTATAGAGAAAGTGAGAAAGGCCTTTCACAAGTTGAGAGATAATTTAGTGGGAACAGATCTCAAAGACAACAGTTATGTGAATTATATTTAATACACTCATTTTGAATGGCAACAAGGAGAAATTCTAAGTAACATTTCAAAAAGGAATGTATCCCATTGGGTCATCTGCTGTATAATATTTAAAATAAAATGAAGCCCGTAATCTGATGTGCCTTGGCAAAGGCTTCACAGGGAAGCATCCCAACTGCACTTGGACACAGCCTTCAGCAGTTTGGTCCACCTGACCCGTGAAGGCATGGTGGACACATGAAACAGGATTCAGGACAGTCAAAACATGTCCTGAAAATAAAAGCAAAAAGTACACAAGGCAGGCAAGCAAAACATTCCTTTGAGAATGTGTGAGTCAGGTTTATTACTTAAGCAGGCAGAAAGAACCTGGTGTGCTGAACATTAGAGTTGCAAACTCTCAACACTGCTTTCACCATTTCAAATAAGTGATGCTGGCAGCACCGTCAAATTATAACACAGCTGAAAACAGAACTGCTACATTCCACAAACTACTAGGGCTTCTGATGAAAAAGATCACTCCAGTTCATTTTTTAAGATGGTTGTAAAAAAAAGAGAAGTGACAAGTTTAGAGAATAAACAAACTTTATTTTATAACAGTATTACAGAAAGCAAAATATCATTTAATACAACTTGAAGCTGCTATAAATCTAACCTGGCATCTTAACTATATATAGGGTCAAAAGCAAGGAGAAAATGTTCAATACAGTTAATACATCCCTATCAGGTCTCTGGTGTCAGCTTGAAATGGCTTAGCTCTCTTACATTCAGCCCAACACCACCGTAAACCCTGCTCCTCTCCCCAACACCTCCCATCTGTACGGTCATCAAGCCTTCTGACAGAGATACATCTGCTCAGTAACAAAAGGTCAGTTTTACATATAGACAAGGACATTTAATAAAAAGCAAGGGTGCTACTCATGTGTTCAGATAATGGAAAGATCTGGAACTTGGAAACATTAAGACAGAAAGCACTATGGTTTTAAGCTGCCTGGCTGTTTTAGTAGAAGGGAAGGGACCACTGTGTCCCCTCTCTTCTCCCGGGAATGCTACCAAAGCCTGTGTTTGAGAAGCACTGGCACTCCACTGCCACAGGCTCTTGGAACACAGTGCGTGGTCAGCGAATTTCACAGTTCTCCAGTCTGGAGAGTCTCTGACTTCCTACAGAATGTAAAAAGTCACAGGACTGGAAAGTCAAAAGGGTTCAATATTTTAAAAAACCCAGTGAAATTCTCAAACATTAGAAAATTTTCCAGATGTAAGAAATGTTTTTAATTGGTATTAATATTTTCTCAGACAGTACATGTACTGAAATCTGAAGACTCTAAATATTTACTGTAAGAATTCAATGGCAAGAAATCTGGAAGGAGGAAAACTGCCATCTAAATTAGTCACAGAGTTTCCTTTCCACACAACAGCACCTGTTCAAGTGAACAGCACCTCACCAGCCCACGCTGGCTTTGTTCACTGTCATATGAGCAAATAAGTCATAAAAAGCAGGTAGTTATACACAAAGGAAATAGAAAACAACAAAACCCCTTCATGGGGGGAGGGGTAGAAAGAACCAAGAATATTTAGAAGTGGTTATAAAACAAAAGTAACATATTAAAAATACATGGGAACAGTATAGACCAGAGCTGTTAAGGTAAGGTTTGTGTTGGCATTTTAATTCTTCAGGTTTCTGGTCGTTGTTACCAGTCGTAGCACAAATTTGCTGGAGTAGTGGTGTGGCATTAAGTCTTGAAATGGTCAAAATTCTTCATGAAGCTGAATGTGTTTTAAAAACGACTTTCTAGGAGAGAAGAGAGAGAGACATGGCTTAATTTAAATCTTTCAAAAACAGAAACTTGGAAAAAACAATAAGCAACATTTTCAATGAAGTAATCAACAGTTACCTGCTGAGGTCTAAGTACAGATGTTTTACCAGAAAACGTGTAAGAGGCTATTGCAAACCTGAAGGCCTTAAAGTTTCTGGAGAAGTGACTGGTCCATCACAACTGGCAGATGTGACCATATGCAGAAGGCTTAGCTAACATAAGACAGACTGCCTGCGATTTTACTTCTGCAGCTCCAGTTACCCACAGCCAACTGTGGTCCAAAAGTACACACAGAGAATTGCAGAAATAAACAATCCCCAATACCAAATGAGGGAGAACAGAGAGGGCTTAGGGCTTGAGCAAGCAATTAGGACCAGGGCTGTAAAAACTAGGCAGGCAGCACAGAAGGACCTGAAAGCAATGGCTAGAGTTATCTCGTCTGAGTTTAAGGAGAATGAGAATGAGCCCAAAGTCACATACTGGTAATTAGGAGACAGAACTGAAAAATAACAGTGGTGCACTATCACTGTAAGAATTTAAGAAGGCAACTGTCTTATGGTCTATTTCAGATTGGTTAAAAATTTTGACAATCAGAAATTTTGACAAAGTTCAGTGGATAGTAGTAATTAATGCCCTTTCCAAAACACACTGATCTCAAAGTCAATCAGAAGGTACATTCTTTTTGTTAGATAAATTTAAGTCTTGTTTTAATGAAAAAAACTTAAGTTACTCAGATGTAACACTTATTATAACACTTGATTATTCAGGAGAGACTAATTAATCAAATTACTGTTTCCCACTTTGTTGTCTGCCTTAGGCTATTTCATTACTCATTAGCATGTCTGCTGGACTCTAGTCAGGGGAAATCAATGGAGACAGAAAGGTCTCTTCACAGGCTGGTAATAATGAAATGCGGGATGGTGTAGATGGATACAGGAATCAGTCAAACTGCACTTGGGGGTTATATTATGCAGGTAGTCAGATATTAGCAGGCGCTAAGGACCAATGGGGTGGGTCCAAAATAGCATTCATTGTCAGTTAATTAAGGAACAGAAACATCAATCTATAACAGACTGATAAGCATCTGTCAGGTCTCAGACCCAAAGCGACCCCACAGAGCACAGGGACATTTTAATGGCACCATGTATGCCCTTCTACCTGGCCACCTGGCCGTCTTAACTCCAGAACATGGCACAGTGTGTTTCTGGCTGCCACAGCCTACAGTTCAATGATGTTGTACCCCAAAAAGGAGACCCCGAGATATTGTCCTAAAAAGTGGGGCAAAATGTCTTTTAAAAAGAAAAAGAGCACTTTATTTAAGCTGGCACTAGTGACACAGGGCAGTTGGAGTTTGCAAAGCTGTGTAACTGGATTAAAATTTTGACAGACTTTTATAAAAAACTGCAAAGTAAATAATGAGGGGAGGAGAGTAGGAATGAGGAAGACCATTGTTCCCCTTTGCTTGAGGTCAGAGACATTTCACAGTTGGTGGCTAGCCCGTTCCTTCCTTACAGGAATTTACAGTCCTTCTGCTAATTCCAGGAACATTTGTCTCACACAAAGGGAACAAAGGTTGACACATCAAAACAGGTTACTAGGGTGACGACGCATACAGAACAGTATGGTGGTGCTTCAGTTAATTTATAACAATGTGGCCGGTGCTCCAGTATGGCCAGTTGCAGAAAAGAGCTGTGTTTGCAAAGAGAGTTACTAGGGTGACAAGCATAGCACAGGACAACAAAGCTCTTTTTGCTAGTGTACAACAGGCATGGTCACTGTAGCAAGACTCCTTGGGGCCATGGTAAGCCCATCTGGGCCAGAACCTAATTGTTTCTTGAATAATGATGTCACAAATGGTGGGATAAGGCACAATGTACATAGCAGCAAGTGGCCAGCAGAAATATTCCAGCAAGTGAACTCTACTGGCCTAGGTCTTCATGTCCAAGCCTTATCCTATGATGTTTACATTGCACTTCTGGGCTCCAGGGTTCATGTTTTGGCCACAGTTGTGGCTACTGGTCCTGAAGCCCCACATCCAGAGTGGGCTCAATTCCCTGTCCAGCAGGACGTTGAGCCCTTAGAGCCCAATTTTTTCTTTTTTCCCTACAAGTCCAGTCCCTCACCTCAACCACTTCATGCTCTTATGGCTCCAGCAGATCCAGAGGAATTGGATTACCCAGGATCCTCTGCACCTATGAAGATTTTGCTTACACCCGAGGAGTCGACTGGAGTCACTGCCAGATCCAGATAAGTTTGTTGTTCCGCATTAGGGTCTGCATGACAAGCTAGTTGGGCCACAGAGGCTCCCAGAGGTGGATTCAATGGTAGATTAGCATGAGAATGAAGACTTAGCTCTGCCTTCTCAAGTCAGAAGAAAGAAGGAGACTTCTGCTTTAGAGCAGGCTGCAGACCACCAGTCACATGTACTTGTTCCACCTCCAATGAGTAAGAGTTCAACAGCATCAAAGTTTGTTTCACTCCTGAAACTGAAGGATACAGCCTGGCACTGGCAACTTGCTAAGAAGGTTTTTGGAGCTCCTCATCTATCAGAATATCCTCAGCATCAGAAACAAACCTTGAAGGATGATACTGCAGATCTGAATATGGATAAAGCTGATCACAATAGCCTACACCTGGGATATCTGCTGAAGCCAGATCAACCTACACAGCCCTGTGAACACAAGGAATCACCACAATACCAGATGGAGGCCCAGACTAAAAACCTAGAGACTCCCCAAATCCAATCCTCTCTACCTGAAGGAGAAGACCCTTATCAAGACTCATAGCCTGCTGAAGAGGTTGTACCTTCTTTAATCCAGTAGGAGGTCCTACACCAAGAGAAGCTTTTTAGTGAGGGTTTACATTGGCTGTCAGAGAATCAGGAGATCAATGTTCCATCTCTAAGGAGCTGTGCAACTCATCTCTCACATTTGACAAATTCCATCCTGAGACCTGGGGAGATACCCAAGGAACCATCTCCAATACTGCAGTCAGCCTCTGATAAGACACAAGGACCAACAGTGAATGAGATGCCAGTTCCAATGCCTGGTCAGTATCCAACTAACGTGCATCCCACATTGCCAACTGTCACAATCCCACCACTAGACATGTGGCTTAGCACAAGTGATGAACTCACTACAGAGCCTGCACATTCTGTGGGCCTGCAAGAGGTTACAGCTTCTCCTCTGAAGCATCCTGAGGTGACACTTGCACATCCAAGGAAGGTGGAGGCTCAACAACCCAACCTGACTTCTGTCAACATTCAGGCTTGGAATGTAGAACATACCAGAACTTCTCCACAGACTTTAGAGGTTCTCCGTTTAGCAACTTTGCCAGAAAACCCATCTCAGCCTCCAGCACCATTTCTGGAGGCTTTAGGTCAACGTAGAGAATCATCTCACAGAATAACACCTACACCACTGGCTCAAGGTCCAGCTCAGACTCGAATATTGCCCACTGTCATGGTACAAAAACTGGATAGAGGCCATACCCTATATCCTGAACTTACTATAGAGGCTGAACATCCAACAGCCCTGCAGAAGGTTGCAGCTCCTCCTCATAAGAACTCTGAGGTGGCCCTTGCACATCCAGACCAGATGCACACACAGCATCCAAACCTCACTCCCGTCACATTTGAATTTCTAGATGTGGAACATTCAGTGCCTCCACCACCTGTTGTAGAAACTCAATTTCCTTCAAGAAGGCCTGAGAGCCCCTTTCAGCCTCCAGAGCCATTTATGAAGGTTGGAGATCAATACACGGTACCAGCTCAAATAACAAATCCAACAGCACCAGGACAGGATACAGCTCAGAGTCCAACATTGCCCAGTGCAATGGTACAACCAATGGATATGGCTTTTATCATGAGTGCAAAAACCATTACAAAGGCTGAACATTCTGTGGTTCTGCAGGAGGTTACAGCTTCTCCTTTGAAGCATCCTGAGGTGACACTCGCACATCCAAGGAAGGTGGAGGCTCTGCAACCCAACCTGACTCGTGTCAACGTTCAGGGATTCAGGATTGGAGGATGAGTTCCTATCAGGATCACGCACCGCTTTTCATCCTAGTGTGCGGATTCGTTCTCTTTCTTCCACCGTGAACAAGACCTGCAAAATCTGCTGACAATCATCCCAAGTGGGACGGTGGGTGTAAAAGATTGATTCCAAAAGAGAAATAATACCTTGAGGGTCTTTAGAGAAAGGAGGGTTCTGTTGCTTCCAGTTGTAGAGGTCAGAAGTAGCAAATGGGACATAAGTAAATATTGGGGCAGAAGGGTCTTCAGAGTTAGTAATTTCACATAAGGGAAGAAGGGTAAGGGTTGGGGTGGAGGAGTCAGGGGACTCTGAATGCTGATAACTTCTGGTTCGGATGGGACTAGGAGGGTGAAAAGGGAGCTCTGGTTCAGGGGGGGGTAGGCACTGGTGTTGAGGGTCGGTAAGGCGGCAGAAGTTCTTCTTCCTTGGTGGGGAGAATTTGGAGTGGCTCGGACTCAGGTTTCAGTTTTGCTTTCAGAGGCACCAGGAGAGGGGGAGTTTCCAACTGATGATCAGATGCCTTCAGAAACTTTTTTAAGCCAAGGAGGAGGATCACAAATGAGATCAATCCAAACCTGAATGTACACAATCTGGTCCAGATGGGTCAGAGATCCAAAGATATATTGTCAGATGGCCTGAGCTGTGGATAAATCAAAACTACCCACCGAGGGCCAGTTAGAAACCCCAGTTGGCCACTAGAGCTCTCAGAAAATACAGAGTCTCCCAGAATATATTGGTTCTCCATATCTTCAGGCTTGATCTTTGAAATCTCTGAAATGATTAAGAACCATGGTCAGGGGAGACAAAGGCTCTGATGATGATGCCCTGCCCATAATTATCTCAAATAACCAGTTAATGACAATAACACAACACAAGGCACCACAGAAAGTAAAAAAAAACATAAAACATGCACACAAAGGCTTCTTGATTCTTGAAATCTC